ACTATACTACTACTACTTACTACTACTACTACTACTACTACTACTACTACTACTACTACTACTATTACTACTACTACTACTGCTGCTGCCTGCACTGCTGCTGCTGCTGCGCTGTTGCTGCTGCTGTCACTACTACTACTACTGCTGCTGCTGCTGCTGTTGCTGCTGCCGCCGCTGGCCGACTGCTGCTGCTGTTGTCGCCGCTGATGCTAGCTGCTAAACTACTACTACTACTACTACTACTACTATACTGTCGGCCGTGCTGCTGCTACTACTACTACGTACTACTACTACTACTACTAGCTGCCGCCGCTACTAGTTTGTTGCTGCGGCTATTGCTGCATGTTCAACTTACTACAAACTACTACTACTGTCGCCTCTACTGCTGGTGCTGCTGCTTTTGCTGTGGATGAGGATGCTGATTCATCCCAGCTACAGCACTGAGATGCCGCGAGCGCTGTGCGTTGGGCTTCTGCACTCACTGCACATGTGTGTGAAATCTTTAAACTTGCGGACGGGATGTGCATATTGGGAAGTCCGCTAATCCCAGAGGTTAATAATGACAAATTTGTCATTAATTGTCATAATTTGTCATAAATTGTCATAATTTGTCATAATTTGTCATAATTTGTCATAAATTGTCATAAATTGTCATAATTTGTCATAAATTGTCATAATTTGTCATTAATTGTCATAATTTGTCATTATTAACCCAATGATAATACTGAATACAACTGATTACATTCGTATAGTAGCGCGAAAGTGTATGTGTTTTACGCATTGGAACAAGACTCTCGAATCAGCACCGCGGAATACGGCTCCACTGCGGGATAGATCATTGGTTCTAGGGTAGATGTACTCGGGCACATGCACACATAGCTGCCATAGGGCTACTGCGAAAAAGGTCGACGCCATACTAGCAACGAACATGTGTTTAAATATGTTTGACGACGGAGTAATCGGCTTAATTACATCATTAATTACGCAGCCGGAACTAAACAAGATATCGGCAAGAAATTTTGTAATTTTTGTGATGTACATCACTTTAGCAGTTTAGCAGTTTAGCAGTTTTGAACGTGTGGTACTTTACGTGTGTGCGTGTGTGCGTTGTTTCCTGCTCGCTTGCTTGCTTTACGCTACAATTTACGCGATTAGATTTTAGGTCAGACCTAGCTCTAGAACTAAGCCCTTTGCTCTGCCACAGGCTATAGCCCTTCGCTCTGCCCCTGTGGCATAGCCAAGGACTATAGTTCTAGAGCTAGGTCACACTATGCTTGCAAGAATATTTGTAGCGTACAACAGAAAACTAGCAAATAATCGTTGGTATTTTTGATCTTTCGTGGAACTGCCTTCAATCCTATTTTGCGCGTTCGAGAACGTCATGTTTGTATTTTTTGTCCGTTTTTTTTGCTCGGGCAAAAAGTAATGTGCACCCCTGTTTTAACAGTTGTTTTCATCTAAAAAGTTCTAAAACCAAAACATTTTTAAACCATCTGATCCCAAGTATTTCTAGAGGCGAAGAGTTCTGGAATGCATTTGGTGCTAAGCATAATTGCCCCTTCCCACCAAAAAACAACGTTTATTTTTTTTTCAAATTACGACTCACACCTAGCACGTACGTGTCTCACATTTTAACCCTATCGTTTATATCTCCATCTATATCTTCACGTTAAATCATCAAATATATAAATCAAACGAATACATTCGATAGATCGCTCTGTGTGAGTACACGGGGCGTGCACAGAAAGCACGATATGGCACGAAAACGTTGATAGCGCAAAATGTCAATATTTACTCTCCAAACATCGTGCATCAACCCAAACAGAATTTTAGTAGGTCTCCGGGGAGAAATAGTGAATATAGAAATAAGTTGTGGATATAGAAATCAGTTAACCCTAACCCTAACCCTAACCCTAATCCTAACCCTAACCCTAACCCTATCCCTAATTCTAAAATAAAACAAAATTAATAAAAAATAATAATTCAGATCAGTACGTACTTAGCGAGTAGTATTCTCGTCGGCAATCCTACCCCCACGACCGAGAGCGCGACGGCAGAAACACGCGTCGCAGACAACTACAGCCGAACACCGCAGTTCCGCTATGTCATCACGCGTCATCACAGCCCGTGTCATCGTCGCCGTGTGACGTCACTGGTCACTGCTTGGGGCGCCACCAGCCGGTGTCCGACTTGCAATTCTGCGTCTCTCCCCAGAATTCGTCAATGCGCGCGTACGACCGGTGCTGTCGCCTCGCGGCGTCGTCGTCCTCGACGGCCGGTTTGTTCAGCAGCGCGCACAGATCGCAAAAGGCGTTCGGATGCGCGACGCGGTGCACGCCCTTCCATCGAAAGAACGCGTTGTAGCGCGCGTCGTCGGCGTCGATCGCGCGCAACTCCGCCGCCAGATGGCGCGGCGACGCGTAGTCGCGCACGTCGACGTAAGAACCTTGCGGCGCGTACAGCGAGTAGTTCGCGCCTCCCATCACGATCGGCACGACGTCGGCGTTCGCCGCCTTGTAAAACTTTTCCGTCACGTAATCTCTGCAGTCGGCGTTCTCGAAACTGACGTAGAACTTGTAGTCGCGCGCGAGCTTCGCCATGCAGTCGTCGGTGCGCGCGCACGTCAGCGGCCCGCAGCGGCCGTACACGTCGACGGCGACGTGTCGCTGCAGCTCGGCGACGTACTCCTCGCGTCGGTTGTCGGTGCGGCAGTGACTCACCATCCAGGCGACGAGTTTCGTCTTGCCTGAGGCGTGGTTCGTTCCCGGTTTCGGTTTGCGCGTGAAGATGTTGCCGTACCAGCGGACGACGTCCGAGTCTTGATGGTACGTCATCGTCAGATTGAAGAATCCGTTGAATTCTCGCAGCTTCGTAACGTCGTGACTCGCCGGCGACTCCAACGCGAAGAACACCCACCGCTGGGCGGCGCTGCTGCGCACGCGCGCCAACGACGACGCGTTGTCGGCGACGGCGTCCATGTTGACGACGACGGCGTCGCTGCTGGCGACGAGCGAGCGGTCGACGACCGTTTCGCAGGCGCGCACGCGACAGCGGAAGCGCGAGAACGGCTCCGTGCCGACGCCGAAGTTAAACGCTTCGTACTTCGAGAACTTGTTCCAGAACAGGATGCGCTTTAATGGCGGCGACACTGTCGTCATCGTCGTCGTCGGCATCGTCGTCGTCGTAGTCGTCGTAGTCGTCGTTGTTGTCGTCGGCATCGTCGTCGTCGACGTAGTCGTCGTTGTTGTCGTCGGCGCCGTCGACGTAGTCGTCGTCGTCGACGGCGGCGGCGGCTTCGGTGCGTGCGTCGTCGTCATCGGCGTCGCTGCGTGCGTCGCCGGACGTCGGCTGGCGACCGACGACGTCGACAGCGCGTCGGCGTACTTCAGCTGCAGCGTACGCAGACGTCGGGTTTCGTAGAGCAGCGACGACGCATGCGTGAGTCCGTCTTCCGGCGGGCCGACGTCGATCATCCGGAAGAGGGCGAGTAGAGCGAGGAGGACGGCAGCGCCGGCGAGTAGCCACACGTACGGGTGTCGGTGTCGGCTGCGCCGACCCAACCACCACCACGCCATATCTCACTCTACCTGTCTTTCTCTCTCTCTATGCCTGTCTCTCTCTCTCTCTCTCTCTCTCTCTCTCTCTCTCTCTCTCTCTCTCTCTCT